TTGTCTGCCAGGCCGCCTGCTCCCGCCTGCTGCTCCCCATCCTGGTCACTCCTCTTGTGGGTGACCCCCGGGCACAAGGCTTTCTGTCCACCATGAACATTGTCCTCCCTCTCTGTAATTCCGCATTCATGTGGATGACCCTTGGTCACCCTGGCCTCACAGTCCGTTGGCCTCTCCCGAACTGTGCTCCTGCCCTGGGGTCCCCCCCAGCCACTCACCCTCACAGTCTTACCCCAGACTGACCATCATCAGCAACTGCTCCTCCTTGAAGCCTTGATGCAAGCACCCCGCCTCTTGACTACACCTCCGCATTCCAGCACAAGTCCTTGAGCATGCCCACTCTGGTCCTTCTCCAACCTCACTGAGGTCTCTGGGCCAGTGGCCTTATCACTGTACTTTTATACTTTCAGCATCATGGCCTCACAAGCTGATTCAGGGATGACCACTGTCCTTCGGTGTCCACTCTTCCCTTCTTCCACACAAACAGAATTTTAGCTGGACATGTGGCCCTCAAACTAAAGACTACATTTCCCAGCCCCCTTTGGCTTCAGATGTAGTCATGTGACCAAGTGCAGGCCAATAGGAAAAGAGGAAGAAGTGATCAGTCCTGCTTCCCGCTGGCTGCAGGGGGCTGGGAAAGCCATCTTGGTTCTTGGGCTGTAGCCCCGACTTGAGGATGGCAGAGCAAAAAGAAGGAGCCTGGGTCCTTGATGGTTCTGGAACTGCCATCTAGCTCAGGCATGGCTACCTGGACTTCTTCCAGAGAGAGAGAAAAAGAGAGAGAGAGAGAATTTTATCTTGTTGAACCTTGTCTTTTCAGGTTTCTGTTACAGCAGCCCATGTGCCTCTGAGGGCAAACCCGCCGATCTGCCTGTGGTGTAGGTGTGTCCCTACATTCGGCCTTCCCACCTGCTGCGGCACAAAAACGTCCTGCTGCTACGTGTGGGCGCGATTCCCGGGAACGCCTCCCAAGATCCTGCACCCCGATCCCCGGAAGTGGTGAATGTGATGAGACCCCACTGCTGTGGTTGTGCCGTGTGTTGCGGCACAGCTGACTTCTAAAAAGGGCGGTTTTCCAGGAGGACCTGATCTAAACGTGTGAGCCCTTAAGTGCAGAGAACGTTCTGTGGCTGCGGGCAGAAGAGGAAGTGGGAGAGACGCAGCAGAAAGGGAAGTCGGAGAGATCTGGAGCGTGCGAATGGAACCTCTGTAGAAACGGAAAGGTGGATGGAAACGAAGACGGACCCACTAAGGCTTCAGGAAGGCTTGACTTCAAACTGAAAAAATGTTTCTCTTCCGCATTCTTGAGCCTCCCCCTCCCCTTCACTTGTTTTTCTGTAGAATCCTCTGGCCCAGGAACTTGGTATGGATACTTAGTAAGGAGACTCGGGTGGCCCGTGCCAGTGCCAGGTGTCAGAGCACGTTGGAGACGTGACAAACGTGGCGGGCCGAACGTACCCGATTCCTATCAAAACCTCCCAGATCCTGTACTTTCCTATAAAACCCCTCAGCCTTTTACCCCTGGCGGGTCTGCAGTTTGGAAGGCTTTAGCCGGCTGCAGGCTCCTTTGCCTGGCAAAGTAATAAAACCGTCCTTCCTCTTGATGCGAACTCTGTCTTCGTGTCATATTTCGGCTCCAGAGCACAGAGGTCGGTATTCGACAACAGGAAGGACTTGATGCGTGATTGCTGCTTTGAAGACAAAGCAGGAGCGGGATGCTGCGGACGGCTGCAGTGAGCCAGCAAGTGCATTCTTCCCCGGAGCCTCTGGGAAGGAACACGGCCCTGCGTGCACCATGATTTCAGCCTCTTGAGACCTTAAGCAGAGAACCCAGATCCACATTGTGCCCACACTTCTGCCCCTTGAAAAGTGTGAGATAAGGAATGAGCGTTGCTGTAAGCCTCTAAGTTGGCGATAATTTCTTACAGCAGCAAGAGAAAACCAATATGAAGGGCAAACCCGGCTCTGGTGCTCCGCATTCTATCTATCCGCTGTGCGAAAACGAATGAAAGGAACTCTTGTTTAGAACGGAGCGGGGAGGCCGGCAGGGGGAGCTCTCGTGCCCTACCACTCGTGGTCCATTGCAGACCCGATAGGAAGAGAGGGACCTTGCACTTGGATGCTACTTTACTATCCCAGCAGGTGGAAGGAAGGTTTCTTCCCCCTCCTCTCCCCGCCCTGCAACAGGCCAGCCAATGAGAGACCACCACAACTCAGCCAATGAAAAACCGCCACACTTTGACCTCCCAGTTTATTCCAATGGGCTTTTTGTTTCTAACAGCCCCTCCCGGCTCCCCCTCTGCTTCCTCTATAAAAGAGCCCTCTTCTCCTTTATTCTGTGGACTGGGTTATGGTTTTCCAGTACTTTGCTTGTCTCGGCTCGTAATTCTCTGCTATTCCCGAATAAACCCATTTTTGCTGGCAAGGTAACCGGTGGTTTTATTTTTAAGGTTAGCATCTTTTGCTTTCTCAAGGACATTGCTCCCACAGCTACCCACTCTCTTGCATCATCAAATTTATCCTTTACTAGATCAATCCCATTAGATTACAAATGGCCTAAAGTAGTGTCCTTTTAAAAAACCCTCCTTAATTCCACATTTTGCTCCAGTTACCACTACTTTTCCTGCCTCTCTCCACCACAAAACTCCTCCAAAGATTTGTCTCTACCTGCTATCCAACCGCAATTCCTGTTGTCTCAGCCCCAAAATATATTCAGAACTGACCCCCTGTACTGCGACTGTCCTGGTCTTCTCTTAACTCCCTTGGCTTCCCATTGCAACCAGAATGAACTCCACCTCCTCCCTGTTTCATGAGGCCCCACTATGGCTTGACCCCCACCTAGTTCTTGACCTTGCAAAGCACTCTCCTCTTTGCTTGCTAATCTACAGCCACGCTGACCTTCTTTCTATTCCTCAATCACTCCAGTATCTTCCTGCCTCAGGGCCTTTGCACTTGCTGGTCCCTCTGCCCAGGGCACCCTTCCCCCAAACTCTGCCATGGCTTCCTCCTGACCATCATTCATGTCTCAGGTCAAGTGTCCTCCTTCTCAAAGGCCCTCCCCTCCAACTAAGGCAATTCTCCATTATTCTGCACCATAGTATTCCATTTAATTCCTTCTATAGCACTTAACAGGACCTAAGATCTTGTTTGTAAATTTTTATGCCTTTTAAAAATATATTTTTTTAAAGTTTTTATTTAATCTCTACACCCAACGTGGGGCTCTAAGTCACAATCCTGACACCCCAAGATCAAGAGTCTCATGCTCCCCCTGACTGAGCCAGCCAGTCGCCCCTAAATTTCTATGCATTTCTTAAATGTTTGTGCCCACTGAAAGCGAACTTCAAGAGGACCGAGTCTCTGTTAACTGCTGTTTATAACTACACCTCTGCCTAGCACATAGTCCGAGCATAATACACATTTGTCAGTTTTGCTGACCGTCTCTCCTCTGGTTCCAGCCAGTCCGTAGCTCTCCAGGACGTTTGTCTCCTGGATGCCGGTCTCTGCTTCCGGCTGCAAAGGTTTGACCTTGACACGTGCCTGCTCAACATCTTTTCATGGCCCCTCCATGTCTTCGAGATGAAATCCAACTCCTTGGCAGAGTTCTCCTTGGCCATCCACTCCAGGCTCCCCTGTCATCTCTTCCTGACCTGAAGCTTCATGGTAGGTCATCTTTGTCGCTACTCACCACCCACATGCTGGTGTCCCTCTCTGTACCTTTCTCTTTCTGGAATCCCTCCCCCCCCCCCCAGTTTTGCCTGTCACACTCCCTTCCTTTAAGATTCACCCAGGGCATGACCTCTTCCCGGAAGCCCTCCCTGACCTGCTCCCCCAGCTGAGTTAGTGGCCTGCCGTTTGCCTGTCTGCCCACGAGCCCAGCTGCTCCTCAGGCACCTGGGCACCGAGGCATAATGGATGAGGTTCACAGAGTGAGGAATGACTGAAGATCGGTTGAGTCTCTTAGGTGCTTTCAGGTGGTACATATGCCTCTGACATACATACTGAGACACACGAGGGACAGAGTCACCCCTTTCCCATTCCCTGACCTGAAGGAGAGAGCCTGGGTCTGGTCATTGTATTATAAAGGAAGCTGCTTAGAAACCTTTTACGTGGGGAGCCCAGGATCCTTCATTATCCCCCTGAAACAATTTTTTCCTTCCCATGGGAAGCAGAGGACAGTAAGAAGTGGAAACTATTACCTAGCATTTTTAGCCTGTGTACAACCAGGGGTAATTGGGCACCCCTGCCCCAGCTGCTGGGGCTGCTTTGACCAGAAACTCTGTGGGCTGGTTCTCTGCGGATACACATCTCTATCCGTAAAGCTGTTTGGGCCCAGGCTATGGAGCAGCATGCCTGGCTCCGAACCCAGTTTTGTTAACTTACTAACTCCATGATCTTGAGGAATAGTCTCCGCTTCTCTCTGCCTCAGTTTCCTCATCTGTAAAATGGAGGAATAAAAGAACCTGCCTCCCTGGGGAGCCATGAAGCCTGAGTGAGTTTGAGGCCCTTGAGGCGTGTTGCTTGGAGCCGGGCACAGTCTGTGCTGGGTCAACCAGCCACCGGTGAGGGTCTGCCTGGATGCTGTCAGGGCATAACAGGTGGGCCTGGCACCCTTTGATCTGTCTGTGGTGTCAGAGGGTTTTCTGTTTGGTTGAATGGATCGAACAATTTAGCTTGGCACTCCTGACCACTGGGGCGTCGACCTTTGCTTGCCCCCTCAGGCTCAGCAAATGCATCTGGTCGGAAGTTAACAGGTCCTTGTATTTTCTGTGAACTTACTGTTATGTTACCTTCTCTCTATGGCAGGTGGGACCGCTTTCTCAATTAAATTAGAGCATATCGATTTTCCTTCCTAAAATCATTTCCGTAAATTTAAAAAGTGGGCTGATGCTAAGAAAAATATTGAGTTGGTAATAGCACACGTGGTGCAAAGGTATGGCAAATATCTATGGAGGGGCGTTCAATTGAGTTCAATCCCGGACTCACAGACCTCACGCCAGGGGTGATTTTGAAGCCTGTTTATTCCTCTATTCAATGAGTGCTCTCGCCACCTAGTGGCAAGAGTGTGAAATTGCAAGATATTTGGACAAGGGCGGGCAATTTCAGGTCAACAGAAAGCGCGCGCGCGCGCACGCGCGCGCGCGAGAGGGTGTTAGTTAGAAATTCCTGCAAAAACATTCCCCCCCTCCCCAGGAAAACAAGCTTAACGAGTTGCAGACCATTTGAATAATCCCAAAGAAGCCTTTCTAGAAAATAGGCAAAAGAAGAGTGATAGAGGTGAAGGCTATTCACAAATACCCAATTCTCCTATTTTCCGTGAGATTCCAGCCCCACTCCTTGCTTTTCCGCTCACCCAGCGCCATCTTCAGGGCATGCAACCAGTGTAGCTGCAAGGGCTCCCCGCTCAGAAAGGCCCTGCGATTGGGGTTTAATGCTCTGTGGTTGCTGTCTTGAAATTCATAATTGCCTTAACTTTGAATTTGTTCGATGCCCCGGGGCCTTGGAGCCTGGCTGACACGCACTCCACTACCTGTCCCCCCGCTGACTCTTGGTTGCCTACTCCCCTGCCCCACTGGTTCCCCAGACCCCTCCCGCTGCCCTCTGGGCCAGGGTGCGTTATTATGTTGGTCAGCCAGCTCTGGGCTAGCAACCTGCTAGTGATTATTGTCAGGCCTCCTAAACACCCACCACAAACACACCCGAATTATCCTGTGTTCTGATAAAGCCTATTTTTTTAAATTAGGAAATCTATTTGTTATCTCTTGCTATGTAACTAATCATCCCCCAAACTGGCAGCTTGCAGCAATAACATGTATTCATTTATTGTCCCGCAGTTTCTGTGGGTCGAGAACTTGGAAGTGGCTTCGCTGGGCAGTTCTCATTTCTGGATATTGCAGTTTGGGATCTCGGCCTGGGCTATGCTTGCTGGAAGACTTGACTAGGGCTGGAGGACTTGCTTCCGAGGTGTGAGCCTGGCTGTTGGCTGGAGGCCTCAGTTCCTTGCTGGCTACTGACAGGAGACTCGGATCTCCTGTCACATGGCCTTTCCCACAGAGTGCTTGGGGGTCCTCGTGACATGGAGAGCAAGAAGGGAGCCACAGGGCCTCTTGTGACCAAGTAGTAGAAGTCACACCATCAGTTCTGCCTTGTTCACCTTGTCCTTGTTAAGTCTAGCTCACGCTCAGAGGGAAGGGAGCTCAGCTTTACATCTTGAAGGAAGATTATCAAAGACACTGTGGACATTTTAACAGGAAATTTTCAAATTCAAATAGTTGTCAGGTTGCTCTCAAGGAAGCACTAAAGCTTTATTGAGAAGCATCTACCAAGGATTAATTAGTCAATGGTAGCTCCCAGGAGCCTCAGTTGACAGGAAACTTCTGGGTCAGGGTTGCAGTTGATACTCAGGCCCAAATATCAGGGGGGGGCCCTGTTTTGGGTGAGGGCTTCTTAAGAACTGTGCACTTACTTTGCTTCTGACCAGAGGAAATCCCAGGTTTCCCATTGATGGCAGCTCCCTGGGCTCCACGATTCCCTCCCCCCCCCCGCTCCAAGGACATCACCCCAGCCTGCAGCTCAGCCAAGGTGTGCCCCATCTTTTTGTGAGATTATACCCTCTGACCCTGTTTTCTGTCAGTGACCTCAGGCCTTGGTGCTCCGTACAGGTCCTGCCTGCTTCTCATGGGGACATGCTGGGGCCTGAATCTGCACTCTGCTATTGAGCTGCATGGCTGTGACAAGGGCCCTCATCAGAGGTGGAGGTGAGAGGGAACCCCGCCCACCCTGGCCCTACCTGGCTTCTGTTGGTCACAGATGTTGATGCTGCCTTTGGTCCCTGACCTGGGCCTTTCGCCAGGGAAGTCCTGTGATTGTCAGGACATCTCACCCTGAGGTAGTGGGCCAGGTTCCACTGGGCTGGGAACAGCAGGCCAACCTTGGGCCAGAGCAGAGCATCGGGCAGATGCTTAGGTCACACCCAAGTTCAAGGTCTTGAAGTTGAGGAAGTCCCAGGCTCTCCCCACCGGGCAAAAGGAAGGCCACTGAGGGGCAAGTCAGCAAGGCTGAGGGGCCAGGAAGCACCCGACACCAGGTCTGACTGCAAACACAGCTGAGAGAGCTTCTGTGCCCATTCTCCCTTTTTTTCTTTTTCAATGGATTTAGTTTTTTTAAGAGGAGTTAGATTCACAGCAAAATTGAGCAGAAAGTATAGAGTTCTCCTATACTCCCTGTCCCCGCTCATATGCACAGTCTCCCCCACTATCAACATCCCAAACCTGGGTGGTGCATTTATTCTAACTCATGAACCTACATGGACACATCATCACCTTCCAAAGTCCACAGTTTACAATAAGGCCTGCTGTTGGGGTGTATGTTCTATGGGTTTCGGCAAATATACCTGTTGTTGGGGTCTCATACGGATAGTTTCTCTGTCCTAAATTCCTCTGCGCTCCACCCTATCATCCTTCCCCACAGCCCCAACCTCTGGCAACCTCTGATCTTTTTACTCCATAGTTTTGCCTTTTCTAGAAAGTGATATAGCTGGACTCATACAGTATATAGTCTTTTCAGACGGGCTTCTTTCACTTCGTAATACACGTTGATGTTTCCTCCATGTCTTTTTGTGGCTTGGTAGCTCATTTCTTTTTAGTGCTAATATTCCGCTGTCTGGATGTGCCACAGTTTATGTATCCATTCCCCCACTGAAGGACGTCTTGACTGCTTCCAAGTTTTGGCAACTATGAGTAAAGCTGCCATAAACGTCCACGTGTGAGCTTTTGTAGGGATGTACATTTCAACTCGTTTGGAGTACATACCAAGGATTGCTGGATTGTGTGGTGAGAGTATGTTTAGCTTTTAAGAAACTGCCACACTGGGTGCCTGGGTGGCTCAGTTGGTTAAGCGACTGCCTTCGGCTCAGGCCATGATCCTGGAGTCCCGGGATCGAGTCCCGCATAGGGCTCCCTGCTCGGCAGGGAGTCTGCTTCTCCCTCTGACCCTCCTCCCTCTCATGCTCTCTGTCTCTCATTCTCTCTATCTCAAATAAATAAATAAAATCTTAAAAAAAAAAAGAAAGAAAGAAACTGCCACACTGTCTTCCAAAGTGGCCGCACCATGTGTGGTATTCCCAGCCAGCGGAGGGGCATTCCCGTCAGCGAAGAGCAAGAGTTCCTATTGCTCCATATCCTCACCAGCATTTGGTGCTGTCAGCCTTTCTGATTTTGGCCATTCTAATAGGTGTGGGGCGGGTTCTCCTTGTGTTAATTGGCATTTCCCCAGTGACATCTGATGGGGAGCATCTTTTCATACATGCATCTGCCATCTCTGTTATCTTCTTTGGTGAGTTGTCTGTTTGAGGCCTTTCCCCATTGGAAAAAAATCAGGTTAACTCTCTTATTATTGAGTTTTAAGAGCTCTTTGTGTCTTCTGGATAACGGTCCTTTATCAGATGTGCCTTTGGCAAATATTTTCTCCCAGTCTGTGGCTTCTCTTCTCGTTCTCTTGACAGCATCTTTCTCAGAGCAGGACATTTTAATTTTAACAAGTTCCAGGGTATCGTTACTTCTTGGATGGATCATGCCTTTCGTGTATTTTAAAAGGTCATAAGATACTCAAGTTCGTCTAGATTTTCTCTTGTGTTATATTTCAGGAATTTTGTAGGTTTGCATTTTATATTTAGGTTTATGACTCACTTTAATTTTCATGAAGGGTTAATTTTTTTTTTAATTTATTTATTCATGAGAGTCAGAGAGAGAGATAGAGAGAGGCAGCGGCAGAGGGAGAAGCAGGCTCCCCGCCTAGCAGGGAGCCCGATGCGGGACTCGATCCCAGGACCCTGGGATCGTGACCTGAGCCGAAGGCAGATGCTTAACCGTCTGAGCCACCCAGGCATCCCGTGAAGGGTTAATTTTTGTGAAGGGTGTAAGGTTTGTGTCTAAAGTCTTTTTTTTTGCATGTGGATGTCCATTTGCCCAACACCATTTATTGAAAAGTCTATCTTTGTCTTGTATTGCTTCTGCTCCTTTGTCTGAGATCAGTTGACTGTATTTGTGTGGGTCTATTTCTGGGCTCTCTATTCTGTTCCACTAATGTATTTGCCAGCACCACACGTCTTGATTACTGTAGCTTTATGGTAAGTCTTGAAGTTGGGTAATGTCAGTCCTCCAACTTTGTTGTTCTCTTTAATATGTTAGCTATTCTGGGTTTTTTGCCTCCCCATATAAACTTTAGAATTGGTTTGTCAGTTTCCACAGAATAACTTGCTGGGACTTGGATTGGGGCTGCACTGAATGGAGAGATCAGTTGGAAGCACTGACATCTTGATAATATTGAGTCTTCCTGTCCGTGAAGGTGGAATATGCCTCCATTTATTTAGTTCTTTGATTTCTTTTATCAGAGTTTTGTAATTTTCTTCATATAGATTCTGCACATATTTTGTTAGATTCATATCTAAGCATTTCATTTTGGGGGGGTGCTAATGTAAATGGTGTGGAGTTTTTTTTTATGTCAAATTCTACTCGTTTATTGCTGGTATATAGGAAAGCAATTGACTTTTGTATAGTAATCTTGTGTCTTGCAATCTTGCTATAATTGCTTATTCTAGGTTTTGTTGTTGTTGTTGTTGTTGTTGATTCTTTTGGATTTCTACTTAGATAATCATGTCATCTGTGCACAAAGACTGTTGTATTTCTTCCTTCCCATTCTGTGTACTTTTTGACTTAGTCAGTTTGGGCTGCTGTAACAAAACACCATGGACTGGGGGGGCTTAAGCAACATACATTTATTACTCACAGTTCTGGATCAGCTTGCCAGTGTGGTTGGGATCTTGGTGGGGGCCCTCTTCCTGGTTTACAGATGACTACTGTCTTGTATCCTCGGCTGGCAGAGTCCGAGAGAGAGGGGAAGCAAGCAGTCTCATGTCTAAGGGGACTAATTATCATGAGAGCTTCACCCTCATGACCAAATTCCCCCCCAAAGGCCTCAGCTCCAGATACCATCCTACTGGGGATCAGGGTTTCAACATATGAGCTTTGAGGGGATACAGGTATTCAGTCCATAGCATCTTGTATTTCCTTTTCTTGTTTTTTGCCTTGGCTAGGACTTCCAACAAGATGATGAAAAGGAATGGGGAGGGGGACGTCCTTGCCTTGTTCCTGATCTTAGTGGGAAAGTATCTAGTTTCTCTCCATTAAGTGTGATGTTGACTCTAGGTTTTCTGTAGATGTTCTTTATCAAGTTGAGGAGGTTCCCTATGCCTAGTTTGCGGACGGTTATTATTATTGTTTTATCATGGATAGGTGTTGGATTTTGTCAAATGTTTTTTCTGCATTTATTGATAAAATCATGTGATTTTTCTTCTTTAGCCTGTGGATGTGGTGGATTACATTAGTTAATGTTTGAATGTTGAGCTAGCCTTGCATACCTGGGATAAATCCCACTTGGTAATTCTTTTTATACACGGTTGGATACAATTTGTTAATTTTTAATTTTGCATCTGTGCTCATGATAGACATAGCTCCATAATTTTCTGTTTTTATAATATCTTTGTCTAGTTTTGGCATTTGGGTAATGCTGGCCTCAGAATGAGTTAGGGAGTATTCCCTCTGCTTCTATCTTCTGGAAGAGATTATAGAAAATTGGAAGAATTTCTTCCTTAAATGTTTGATAGAATTAACCAGTGAACCTATCTGGGCCTGGTGCTTTCGCTTTGGGAAGGTTATTGATTATTGATATAGTTTCTTTAATAGATGCAGTCCTATTCATATTTCTTTTTGTGCGAGTTTTGGCAGATTGTGTCATTCAAGGAATTGATCCATTTCATCTAGATTATCAGATTTGAGGGCTTAGAGTTAGTAATAATATTCACTTATTATCCATATAATGTTCATTTATAGTGATATCTCCTCATTCATTTCTGTTATTAGCAATGTGTGTCTTCTCCCTCTTTTTCTCAATTAGCCTGATGAGAGGCTTATTGAGTCTATTGATCTTTTCAAAGAATCAGCTTTTAGTTTCATTGTTTTTCTCTACTGTTTTTCTATTTCCAATTTCATTCACTTCTGCCCTAATTTTTTAAAATTATTTCTTTTCTTCTGCTTACTTTGTATTTAATTTGCTCTTCTTTTTCTAGTTTCCTAAGGTGGAAGCTTAGATTTTTGATTTTAGATCTGCTTTTCTAATATATGCATCTGATGCTATAAACTTCCCTTTAACCACTGCATCCCACAAATTTTGATAGATTGTATTTCATTTTCATTTAGTTCAAAGTATTTTTAAGTCTCCCTTGAGATTTATTCTTTCACCTATGTGTTATTTAGGAGTGTGTTGTTTAACTTCCACATATTCTGGGATTTTCCACCTATTTCTGTTGATTGATTTCTAGTTTAATTCTATTTTGGTCTGAGAGCATATAGAATATGTTGAAATTTGTGAGGGTATGTTTTATGACGCAGAATGTGGTCTATCTTGGTGAATATTCCATGTGAGCTTGAAAAAAAATGTACGTTCTGCAGTTGCTAGATGAAGTCGTCTATAGATGCTAATTCAATCCATTTGGTTGATGGTACTGCTGAGTTCACCTATGTTCTTACTGATTTTCTTCCTGCTGGATCTGTCTATTTCTGTTAGAGGGGAGTTGAAGTCTCCAAATATAATAGTGGATTCATCTATTTCAACTCACAGTTCTGCTGGTTTTTGCCTTATATATTTTGACACTGTTGTTAGGTGCATACACATTAAGGATTGTTATATCTTCCTCAATAATTGACCTTTTATCATGTAGTGCCTCTCTTTGTCCCTCAAAAATTTTCCTTGCTCTGAAGTCTGCTCTATCTGAAATTAGTATAGACTCTGATAAAACCCCAATAGGTTAGGCTTTGGTAAAACAGTTTCTCTTAAGGGCAGGCCTTGTTAAGGAAAACAGAATATTCTGGCATATTTCAAAATGGTTACTTCCCTTCCCACTGTGAGAAGCATGAGGGTTTTTTTTCTCTGATTTTCACTGTGAGGACCTTGTAGAGCTTTAGAAGGTAAAATTCACAAAGGTGTGGGACCCCACCCCCCCATGACTGGGTCCCCCTAGGGTTTTTAACTCTATATACTTGTCCACACTGAGCCTCCACCAATTTGTTGATTACAGTTCAGCTTGTCCTATTCTGGTACTGTTTCCCAAGAAGGTGGGTTCTTCTTTGGCAAGTTGTGATTCTCTGCATTCACCAGTCTGTCTTTCCAATTTTGGGGAGGGCCGTTTGTCCTGCAACCTCACTTCCCTTGTGGATCTAAGAGGAGTTGTTGAATTTTCAGCTTGTTCACCTTTTTACTTGTCATTGGATGCACTGGTGACTTCCAAGCTCCTTACATGCTGGACTGGAAACTGGGCACATTGTTGCTCAGCCACAGACTACATCTCCCAGCCTCCCTTGCAGCTAGGCATGGCCAATGGGTTGTGAGTAGAAGCCTTGTGAGCCAGAGTGCCTTTCCTTCCCTTTCCCTCTCCTCCTTCCTGTGGGTTGGAAGGCAGATGCAGTGCTGATGAATTGGCTTCCACTGTGCAAGGGAGGATATGACTCCAGGGAATGCCAAAGCAACAAAGTGGAATGGATCCCTGGATCCCTGGGTGACCACATAGAGCAGAGCCGCTCTGCCAACCAGGACCATTCACCTCTGAACTCTACAGCAGGGACATTAAGTTATATCTTATTTGACCCAGAGTATTTTGGGGTCTCTTTATCAAGGCAGTTTAGCTTGTACCATAACTAGTCCAGACCCCAAACCCTTAGCGAGCCCAGAGCTTCCTAGCCAGAGACAGCTGGCTGTGGTAGAAAACTGCAAGAGATGTAGGCAGAAAACAGGCCCCTCTCCAGGCTTGGATGCTGATTTGCTGTGTGATGCTGGGTATTTCCATATCCTAATCCACCTCAACTTGCTTCCAATGAGATGAGGGGCCTACAAGCATGGTGATGAACCACTGATGGTTGACAGTTGCTAAGAAAAGATTTTAGTTAGGGAAATCTTGAGGATGAAGCTTAGTGTAGTTGTAACCTACAGGAGCCCTCTTTGCCTGTCTGAAGATTCCAGGTGCCTAGAGCTGGAGGGGCTCCAGGAATATCTCTTCTGGTCCCTCTTATTTTTTATTAACATACAGTGAAGTTGGCTTTTTTTGAGGGGAGCCTCCAGGTTTTTGAATCTTTTTCTATTTTCATTAAAAATTTTTTTAAAAATTTATTTTTTTTGAGTGAGAGAGAGCGAGAGAGAGCAGGTGGAGAGGGGCAGAGGGAGAGAGAATCTCAAGCAGACTCCCCGCTGAGTGTGGAGCCCTATGTGGGGCTCCATCCCACAATCCTGAAATCATGACCTGAGCCGAATTCAAGAGTCAGATGCTCAACCAATTGAGCCACCCAGGTGCCCCAAAGGTCTATGAATCTTTTTTTTTTTTTAAACTTATTTGAGCGAGAGTGAGTGAGAGAGAGAGCATAGAGGGAGAGGGAGAAGAAGACTCCCCACTGAGCTGGGAGTCCTGATGCAGGGCTTGATCCCAGGACCCTGGGATTACAACCTGAGCCAAAGGCAGTCGTTTAACCGACTGAGCCACCCAGGCACCCCTCTATGAATCTTAACACATGTGTAGATTCCCGTGACTGACACCATGGTCAGGATATGGAACAGCTGACCCTTCTTACTGGGCAGGGGCACAGGTGGGCCTCACCTGGGTCATGCAGTCATTAGCAGCACAGCCAGAGGAGGAGGGCCTGGTGGGCTCAGGCTGAGCTGCGAGGAGCAAGCTGGGACAGCCCTCTCTGCTCAGACCAGCCTCCTCAGTGCCCAGCCCTGTCCACTGGCCCATGAGGAGTCCTGGGACCTTCTGAAAAAAGCCTGGCCCATCTGACAGGACCAAGGGTAGCGTGGCCCCTCTGGAATGGCCACTGGCCTTGGTCTCTTTCATTCCATTCCCAGAGGAACCATAGGGAGACTGGGGGCCTGTGTCACTCTGCTCAGGAGCATGCAGTGGCTCCCTGATGCCTCCCGCCCCCATCCAAGCTGCTGAGTGTCTGAGGCCAGACAAGTCAGGAATGCCAGTCAGGCATTGTCTGTCCCCAGTCCCTGCTGCCCTGCCCCAGAGTGCCCACTGCTCCCAAACTCCCCACTGGGTACCCCTTGATCCTCCTTCTCCCATGATCCCCTTCTGTGTCCCCCTAGCTCTGGTTCCAGGCTCCTAGTGCCCCCTTCCTCCCACAGTCCTGCAGCTGCCTCTTCTTCACTCCCCTCCATCTACCCTCCATGAGGCAGCTCAGAATCCTCCAATGGCTCTCGACTGCCTATGGGAGCAAGTCCCAGATCCTCGTCTGCCATCGAGTCCCCCCATGACCTGCTACTGTCCCTCCAGGCACCTGCCCTCATCCCTTCAGTTCCCCTCTGTGGTGCATCCGTACTCCTTGGCTCAGATGAACTCCTCTTGGATGGACTCTTGCAAATATTTTACCTTGATTGGGCACTGATTTCACCCATGTCACACTATTTGTCAGTGTATCTTTCTCTCCTACGAGATGTTAAGGTAGGTGAGACCAGGCAGCTTATCTTACTCCTTCCTGTGACCCCATGAAATCCAGTACCCACTATATGCTTGGGAAAGAGGTGTCCCAGGTACTGTACTAATGGGGGCCCTTTCTGGCATCACACTTTGCTCTTGCTGTTTCCTCACATTAAATGCCCTTCCCTCCTCTCTGTTTGTCTAAATCCTACCACTCTTCTAGAGCTAGTTGAAGGACAGCTTCCATCCAGAAGCTTGCAGTAACCACCCCCGCCTTGTGTTCCCCCAGCCCTGCCTGGTCTTCAACACTTCTGGGGGTGTGGGAATTCCCCAGTGGGCCAGGTGTGGCCTGGAGGTTGGGCACAGCAGTGAGAGGAAGGGGACAGTGCTGGGAGGGGAAAAGACCCCAGGAGACCAGGGAAGGGATTCTGGGCTGGGCTGTGTGAGAAAGTGGGCAGGGGAGGCAACAGCAGGTATGGGCTGATCCAGCAGCCCCAGGGCTTGAATGTGAACTGTGGCAGCAGGAATGCAGGGGCTGCTGGGAGGAACTCAAGGAAAGGATGTCTGCCAGGCTCTGTTGTGGGAGGCTCTGGGGTTGAGCCCAGTCTCAGAAGGAGTCAGCGTCTCCAGGGTTCTAAGGATGTGATGGTGGTTGGGCTAGCCATGGAAGCTCACCCGATGGTGGTCAGGCTGGTTATGGAACCTGGTCTGGTGGTGGTCAGGCTAATCTGGAGGTTAGTCTGATGGAAGTCAGGCTGACCAAGGTGCCCATAGGCTGGGCCAGTGACCTCAGCAGGAGATGAGGAGGGGGTTGGTGAGTGCAGGAGCTGTGGAGGCTGGTGCTGAGAGCTCTCTCCGCAGGAGTTCACAGCCAGCCAAAGCTTGGTGCAGGGCATCCAAGATGGCCGAGGGTCCAGATATCCCCTCTGGAAGGAAAGAATGGACAGTGAGGGCAGTTCAGTTTGCTCACTGTGGCCCACATAGCCACTCTTCCTCCTTTCTGGGGCCCTCCCCAGTCCTGCCCAGTCCTGCCCAGCTACCTCCCCCTCTTGTCTCTTTCTCACTGAGGATGCCAGAGAAGGTTTCTAACCTCCCTCTCAATTCCAGGGACCATTCAGGGCACTCGACCTACCTGAGCCTTGCCCAGCAATGCCCTGTGAGGCCAGCGAGCAAAGGCTCATCACCAGTTGGTTGCCTCATTAGCCTGTGAGGCCCTTTGAGGAGAAAGCTTGGCCTGGCTCCTCTTGACTTCACCAGCTACAGTCTGGCACTGATGAAATCCTACTGCCCTGAACTTTGTCTAAATAATGGGGGCCATGTAACTTAGTGCTTAAGGGAGAGACCCAAGGCTCTGGTTACAGCTGGCACTTGGCCTTTCTCTGCTTCAGTCTCTCCATCTGTGGAATGGGTACAATAACAGCGCCTTCTCCAGTGGGCTGTTGTCATGACTCAGGGGGTTAAAACCACTTGAGGCGCCTCCACAGAGCCTGGCCCACACTCAGCCCAGTGTCTGAACTGACAGCAGAGAACCTTGCCGACCTCCCTTGGGGGTTTGACCACACCGGCTTCTGCTTAGCTCTTCTCCCTGGGACACTGAATAGCATTTTTAACTTTCTGAAGCCTGTTCCTGACTATGCACTTTGCGGGTGGTCAGGGCAGTCATGACAGTGACATTTTGCAAACAAGACACTCAGGACAGAGAGTGCTGGGCAGGCTGCTCTCCAGACGCTGTCCAGGCTCTGAAAGATGGGCGAGTTCTCCTACCGTGTGTGGGGTCCTTGCAAGCATCCAGTGTGTTCAGCAAAATCTTCCCCAGGGCTCTTTTCGATATGTTCTTAAAAAGAAATGGAGACAGGGCTGGACTGTACTGTGGCTGCCACGTCCCCATTCAGCAGGTGGGACTTGGTGGCCCCTAAAGGCTTCTGTAAGGCTCCCTGGGTGCACAGAGTTATTACCCCCCATCCCTTCCTGGGCCCCTACCCTTAGCCGGCTGGCCACACTGCTTGATGGGCTTCCCAAAGACTTTTGGTGGGTGGATAGTGGGGGGTGCAGCATCCTTTCCATCAAAGATCACATATTTATGGATTACCATTTATGTGCCAAAGTAGAAGTTGGCACTTTGGAAATAAACATGAATAAGAGCATTTTTATGCATTAGCTCATTTAATCTTTGCAACAACTGATATTATTAGGCTCAATTTAACCAGTGAAGAAAAGCGGTGCTGAGAAAGAATGAGAAATTTGCCTAAAGCCACTCAGCTAGGAGGTGGAAGAACCAGCTTTTACCCCCAGGTTGCATGGCCTGGAGTTGTGGTGGTAAGCACCACCTTCGCTATCTGCTGGCGCTGGCTGCCACTCAGCCATTCTCTCAGGCTGTGCTGCCCTGGCTTTGGCCTTGGTAGTTCTGTGTCCTAGGCAGTCTGGTGCATAGGCAAGAGCCCACTTAAAACCCAGGCAACCTGGGTTCAAATCCTACTTCCACCTTATAGGAGCTGTACTCCTAAGTTAATGGTTTCTCAAAAAAATATTTTTTAAATGGTTTGCTGATGTTATTTAGGAACACAATTGACTTCTGTGTTCTGATATTTTATTATTTACCTTGCCAAGAAATTACAATAATTTGCCTCTGGATTCTCTTGGGTATTCTATGTAGATGATATATAATCACTGATAGCTTTGTGTCTTCCTATCTAATCCTTACACCTTTTCTTTCTTTTTCTTGTCTTACTGCATTGGCTAGAACCTCTAGTTGGCATACAAACATTGATGACATGCATGCTTGTCTTGATTCTCACTTTAGAAGCATTCCTTCTAACATTTCACCAGTAAGTGTGAGGTTTGTGAGAGGTAGTTGGCTGAGACTCCTTACCTGGTAAAGGAAGGTCCTTACTGTTCTTAATTTGCTGAAGGGTTTTATGATAAAAGGAGGCTGACTGACTTTTCTATATCTATTGAGATAAATATATGGTTTTTGTCCTTTAATCTGCAATGTGGCATATGATGTTAATAGATTTTTTAATCTTGAATTATCTTCAGATTACTGGGATTAAATCCAAGTTGGTCATGTTGCATTTCTTTAAACACTGCTGGATTTGGTTTGCTAATATCTTATTTAATATTTTGTATCCATGTTTCAATGTGACATTAGCTTATAATTTTCCTTTCTTTCTTTCTTTTTTTTTTAAAGATTTTATTTATTTATTTGACAGAGAGAGACACAGCGAGAGAGGGAACACAAGCAGGGGGAGTGGGAGAGGGAGAAGCAGGCTCCCCGCAGAGCAGGGAGCCCGATGCGGGACTCGATCCCAGGACTCTGGGATCATGACCCGAGCCGAAGGCAGTCGCTTAACCAACTGAGCCACCCAGGCGCCCTAATTTTCCTTTCTTATATTTATCCTTCTCTGGTTTTGAAATCAAAGTTATATCAGCTTTATAAAATGAATAATAGCACCTTGGGCAGGACAGAGAAGCCTTTCCTTCTTTTTAATTAACTTCTCTGAGCCTCCTTTTCTACATCTGGAAAGTGGAGTTGACACCTGCCTAATGTGAGGAAAGCTCCGAGCCAGGTGCCTGACGCAGGCCAGTGCTCCCTCCTGAGAGCCCCTCCCCTTGCCCTGGGTGTGCCAGCGCCCGTGAGCCTACCAGGTCCCGGAGCCTCTGCAGGAGCTGCAGCACGTCTACCAGCTTCTCCTCCAGCAGGGACAGCCGCACCCTCTCTGTCTCCACCATCTGCAGCTCCAGCCTCAGGTGCTCATTCTCTTCCACCTTCTGCTGTAGCTCTGCCTGCGGGGACCAATGGGGACTCAGCACCCACCCTGCTGCCCTCTGCCCAGCACTCACTGTGCCATCTCCAGGCAGGGCCCATGACTTGCCTTGACCCTTTCATGGAGGTCATCTCATCTGACTCCCTCCCCCCACCGCCAGCCTGCCAGTGACTGGGCAGGTAAAGTCCCCCATCTTCCCAGTGCTGGCACCAAGGCCCAGAGAGGCTGCATGTGTGGCCTAAGGTCACACAGTGAGTTGCGTTAATGTACGAATATGCATATTTTGTTTTCTAGTTGAGGACTCCATTTTCCCTTCTCTATCCATCTGCTTTCTTTTCTTTTTAATACATTTTTTTGGTTGCAAGCAACAGAAACGTATCTGGCTAGTTAAACAGAGAATTCACTGGCAGGCTCTGGGTCATTCCCAGAACAGACTGGCAGCTGGAGAAACTCAGGGATGGGGCAGCAATGGGGACTGAGATGTAGGACAGTCTCAAGCCTCTTGTCCAGGGGTCAGAGCTGAGAAGGACACTGCAGACACTCTCCCACTTCCCTCAAGATGGAGAGCCCCAGGAGGGGGCCCTATTGGGCCAGCGTGAGTCATGGCCCACCCGTGGCCAGGGGAGCACTGAGACCATGAGTCCTACCAGGATACCCACCAGGGGGCAGATGCCAGGCAGTCACAAAGCATCACATGGCTACTTGCCTTCTAAAGCAGGGATGCCAGGAGTAAGGCAGTCCCAATTCTTGGCACCGATGGAGGGAAAGAGGAGCAGCTGAAGGTGTGGTGCCCTTGGACACTCTGGGCCTTGGGCAGGACAGAGAAGGCATGTGCCAGTGCCCACTGCAGATGGGACTGGAAGGGTGGCTTGGAGACACCACTCACATGCCTCAGTAACTCTCCTAACCCCCCACTTCCTTGGAATTCACTTAGAAAAGGGGTGATGGTCATGCCCTTTGGATCCACATCAGACCACAGATACGTCAAAAACAGTATGGATTTAGAATTTCAGGTGTATAAATATAAAGCTATCTTAGATCAAAACGATAGTTTGCAAAAGCGCAGTGGGCTAGGGCTTAGTGAAATGGTAACTCTCAATAGCACTCTGCACTTGATTACTGTGGAATGGAGTCGAGAGATGAGAAAAACATGCTAAGTGGTCTTACTGAAACGGAGACACCCCGCTATTGGCGTTGCTTCCAGCTCCCTCCCACTACCCTCAGTAACCTTCCTGGGGAGAAGTGTCCCTCCTCCCCCTTGTCTGACTTTGATGGAGCTAATCCCTGAACCCTGCCTGCCTACCACAGGGATTGGCCCAGGGACAGGCACAGGACCGAGGCTGGGCCAGTTGGAGTTCTTCCCTGAGATGTAATATATTGGGCTCTTATCCCCCTGGGCTTTCTTAGGTGGGCCAATGGGAGCCTAGAGCTGTCTGTGGCCTTGCCTTTCCTTTCACCACCACATGGAGGAAGCCCTTCTGAAGTAGGGGGATTGAGGCCAGCACCCGAGAAACCCAGAGCAGACAGAGGTAGGTGGAGACAGTCTTGTCTGAGTCACTGGATCCAGCTGTTCCTGAAGCTCATCTCCTCGGCTGTTCTTCTGAGGCTGTTCTTGCCGGCTCCATATTCTAATAAATACCTGTTTATAATTCCAATAACTTGCAACCCAAATATTCTTCATTAAATCTAAATCAAAGCAAGTCACATCTCCTCTCTGAGTCTTGGTTTGCTCATCTGTGAACAGGGCCCAGGACTTGGCTGATATGCCTCGAGGGTTCTTCCAGCTATGAGAGAGACTCTAGCATTGGTCCAGACCTCAACCTCTGGGGCTCAGCTGACCTCCTCCCCAGGTGTCCCCAGGGCCTTCCCACGGCAGCCCTGGGTCCCCAGCTGCTCCACCAGCATGGCGATGCGGGCCTCCAGCTGTCCCAGGGTGCAGGCATGGTCACCACTGCCAAAGTGGCCGAAGTAAGTCATGAGCTTCTTGGCTGTCTGGTCATCACACCTGCAGGAAAAGAGAGCACCAGCACTGTGGAGCGGCTCTGCAGAGTCTGCTTCAGCCTCACAATGTGGGTGTTGCCACTGAGTCTGTCTCCTGAAAGTTAAGCCAGGCCATGGCACCCCCTGCTCAGTACCCTCCCATGGCTCCCCGTCTTACTCCAAGGAAAAGCCAAAGGCCTCCCCCAATCTGCCCCTTCGATCTCTCTGACCTCCCTCCCATTCATCTTCACTCACTGTGCTCCAGCCCCAGTAACCCCCTCACTGCCCCTCTAACATGCCTCAGGGCCTTTGCACTTGCTGTTCCCTCTTCCTGGAATGCACTTACCTGTGTCTTTCAGGTCTTTGCTCACATGGCACCTTCTTAGAGTGGCCTTCCCAGCATCTCCCTGCACCCCCCTGTCCCTTCCCCTGCTTCACCTTTCTTCCTCACACTTGTCACCACTCACTAGAATAGGAGCTCCAGGAGGTGGGGGTGCTGTCTTGCTTATTGTTGATCTCTCAGTGCCTCCAGATTTGCCCGGCACATAGTAGGTGCTTAATAAATGCTTGTTGTTGACTTAAGGGTTGGTGATAACAATAACCCGGGGAAAATTGACAGCACTGTACAATATAATGAAAGTCAATGCCGCCCCCCGATGGTGAACCTACGGGGATCAGGCACCTGTTAGGCATTTTATAGCCTCGTTAGCAAGTCCTCAGAAAACCTCTGCCAGACAAGTGTTACTGGCCCATCTTAGAGACAAGAAGGCTGAGGCTCAGAGAAGTCAGGCAACTTGTCTGAGGTGCCCCAGGCATCTGGGTCTTTCTTCCCTCCAGAGTGGTTGTGAGGGTTAAATAAGCCAGGGGGTCAGCTGGAGGGGGCCCTGTAAGAGCTGTTTCTTGCAGGAGCAACGGGGTAAGGAAGGGTCTGGAATGTCCTGGAGTAACACTAGAGCTTTGGGCCATGTCTTGGCATAGCGGCCAGGGGAGTGGGAGGAAACCAATGGGAATTAAAGCTCCCCACAAAGAGTGCCTTTGTCAGTCACCTCATTTCATCCCTGCACACGCTGGGGGGCTGTCTTCTCACTTCCCTCCGTGGGCTAGGGGCCAGGGTGTCCAGGGAGCTGGGGGTGACCCAGCCTGGACTTGAATCAGGTCCCCAAGGTCAAGCTCTGGGAAGGGGCTCTGGGACTCCAGCACCAATCCCAGCCACCCGCCCACCTCAGTGCACATACCCACTTCTGCAGCTGGAGAGGCGCATCAGCAACGTCTTGACCTCTGCCAGTGACCTCTGCTCTTCCTGCCACTTCTCTTCACCCTCCTCTTCTTCGTCGGAGGCGGCCTGGCCCTCCACTGAGCGGAACAGCTGCCCGTCCACTGCTGGAGAAGCACGGGATGCCGGCACCAGGGCCAAAGGGAGGGAACCAGGCAGCCCTCCCCAGGGGGACGTGCGGTGGGCCCCGCAGAGGGGACAGGCTCTGGCACCATCAGCCCTTTTTCCAGATAGCCGCTCTCCCACACTCCCCGTCCCTGCAAGGTGAGGCCACCGAGGCTGCTGGGTCCCCTCCCCAGTGCCTGGCCCAATCTGGCCAACCGGAGCCCCTCCCTGGGGTTTTACACAGGGCCCCCGGGAGCGAGGAGCCCTTTCTCTTCTCTGCTTTCTAAGATGACACAACTAGCCAAGGCCTGTCTGCGCTCTCAGAGGTGCATATTATTTCCATTTTAGGATATGACAGTCCCAGCCAGGGGAGCCACAGGGCAGGGGTTGGGGCTCTGCAGGGCATGGGCACCAGGTTGAACAGATTTTCAGCTCTCAGGGAGCTACATGCCTCTACCACTTGGGAAGTCACGAGTGTGACTCTGTGTGATCCCCAACGTGGCCGTGTCTGGTTGGGGTACTCCAGTCTGGTTGCACATTGGAAACCCCGGGGACTGGCCGCCCAGCGTCGGCCTCCATCTCTGGGGGGAGTGTGGGGGGGGCAGCCCCTGACCATCTCTTCAGGGGAAGACTTCCCTCTCCTCCCCACTCCACCCCAGCCCAGGGGACACGCGAGTCCAGGCTGACCAGGCAGAGTGCACACAGCCCGGCCACATGACGAGTTCAGCCGCGGCAGGGGACCTAGTGTGAGCCAAGGAGAGCCAGGCCAAAATCTGAGTCAAACTTGCAGGGAAGAGAAGAGCCGCCATTCCTCTGGCCTGGGAGTTGGAGGGTGTGGGTCTGCAGCTTGTGGGGGCTGTCTGGTCAGTCTGAGGGGAGCACCTTCCGCACAAGGCAGCAAGAGATGAAGTTCCATGACACCCTGGCTGTGCCTGAAGCCTACGTGGACTTTTTCATTAATTCGAGCCAGTCTGACAGTGACAATGGCCTGATCCTCACAGACAGATAGTGTCCTGAGCAACAAAGCTGTGTCCTCCTCCCCTGCAGAGGGAGAGGAGAATCACAAGCAGCAGAGCTGGGGTGGGCCTGGGCCTCTGCATTTCTAAAAGGCTCCTGGGTGATCCTGACCACCTGGTAGGTTTGGGAACCACTGACTCAGGTCTCCTGACTTGGGACACCCATCTCTCCAGCCTGACTGTCCCAGCTGGTTGGGCTCAGGGCCCTTCTGTTTTGTTTCAGTAGAAACTGTCCCAGACCAAACAGAACCAAGGTGGAGGGGACTGGTCCCTGACTTTTTGGTTGTATGAATTGCATTCCCAGTACTGACAATTTGTTTTTGGTCCTGGCAATTTCCCGACGCTGTGTGTGTATGTGTGTTGTGTACGCGCGTGCATGTGTATATGTATGTGTCCGTGTCCGTGTGTACATGTATGTCTGTGTACATGTATGTGTGCGTACATGTATGTGTGTAGATGTACGTGTGTGTGTGTACATGCATGTGTGTGGCATCATTGTTGTCACGGTCATTATTACTGTCCTGGTGCCCCAGGCAGGGGCAGGCGAGGTGCTCTGAAGAGGAACGGGAAGGATGGTGCCCAGCAGCGCCCACAGCTGCCCACGACTGAGCCCGGAGAGCACTGGGCACCCCTCAGCCAGTGTTGCTCCCCTTCCCACATGACAGTTCCACACCCACCAGGCCCCGGTTCTTGAGCCGATGGGCCTCCTTGTGGTCTTCTTGAGGGGTGTCCATCCAGCCCCTGCTTACATACCTCTGATGATGGGGCGCTCACTCCACCTCAGTTCCCTGGGCACCCAACCCATCCCTGCATGGGACTGAAAGGAGACAGACTTTTCCCCACACTGAGCTGGAACCTATCCCTGGGAACCGCCTTCTCCCACCAGGTGTCTGTACTCCCTGGCCTAAGGACGGAGCCCTTGTTACTCGGGAAGCCCCGCCTCAGCACACAGCGGGAGTGGGGTTCTGTTTGGAGGCTGGATGGCAGCATCGGTGTGGACAGCTGTGGGAATGGGGCCTGGCACAGCCGGCCAATCATGAGCCTGGCAGCAAGCCTGAGTGTGGCGGGGACAAACCTTCGTCCAGGGGTCCGCTCCTGGAACCGCTGTCTGACTGCCAGGCTCCCTCTGGAGGGCTGTCTGGGCTTCTGGTCCCACTGTCCGCAGGGTCACCACTCTTGGCTTCTGGCTCTGGGCTGGCTTGTGACGAGATTGGGGTCTGGGTGCCCTCTGACCTGTGGGCAGGGGAGAATACACAGGTGTTGAGAGGGAGGAGGGGGCTCAGCCGGCTTCCTGCAGGAGAGTGTGGGATGTGGGCCCACTCTCTTCCACTGCTTACTCTGCACAGGTAAGCTGTGTATGATGTGCCTGAAGAAGACCCTGGATTGTCTCTGCGGTTGACCCTACTGACTCCCTACCCAGCGGCCAGCATGTTAGAGCCAACCTTCCATGACAGACACTCACTCTCTCAGCACCTCTTGCAGCCAAGGCACAGGCTGTAACCCAATTTTAGCCAGTGAGACTAAAGGCAAAATCTGAGGAGCCTCTGGAATGGATTTGTATCCCTTATAAAAAGAAGATCAGGAAAGGAAATGCCCTTCCTTCCTGGCTTTGGACATTATCATGTGGATATGATGTTTGAAGCTATGGCAGCCATCTTGTGACCAAGAGGAAATGGCTGAGAGAATTATAGAGTAGTTAAACAAGAGCCCTGACATCTTTCAGCGGCTGAGTTAACTGGTCTTGGAGTTACCCACCTCTGGACTTCTTATTATGGGTGAGATTTTTTTTAAAAAGTCTTAATTGTTTCAGTTACTTTTAACTGCATTAAGATCGAAAGTATCTCTCCTCTTTGGGCTTTGGAGAACCTACTTCAGCCTCATCAATCAATTTTCTTGATAATCTAAGGTCCTCACTTTTTGGATATTCATTTTCCATGTCACTGCAGTTATAAGGTCAAGGAAAACATGAAAACGAATCTATCATAACATGAAAATATTCACTAATGAACTACTGCTTGCTAAACTAGTCCTTCACTTCTCCCTCATTGTACACCAACATCTGTCTCTCATCTCTTCAGAAACTGTCATTCCTCATCTCTCTCTGACTATCAGATGTAACAACCCAGTACAAAGTGTCTGTAAAATGAAACTGCACATCTTGGAAAAGGAGAGCCTTTGGGATATCGGCGAAGGGGATACTGGAGAACCGTGGGATTACAGCAGAACCACTGATTGTGGGGATGTGGTGGAGTTGGACCAGTCTACGACTGAATAAGACAAAACCAACAGGATTAGGAAGGGCCAGGAGCACCAAAAGAGGACTTGGAGGACTGGGAAAAGTCCTTAGAGAAACTAACAAAAGTCTCAAATATTTTTGCAAAAGGGATCCTCCTCATGATTAAGCTGCAAAAATAAGAAAACATGAAGTTAAGGATGCACCATTGTATTTTCATACAGTTTTGCTGGAAAAAATTATTCCAAAAGGAATATAATCAACCCAGAAACAGTCTATATCTAAGAATAAGTACGCTGTACTGCAGTCATGAAGATTACTTGAAAAATGAGTGAAAAATGAAAATGAAAATTACCATGTGATCCGGCAAAATGCCTCTGGGTATATACCCCAAAGATTTGAAAGCAGAGACTCAAGCAGCATTATTCACAAGAGCCAAAAGGTACAAGCAACCCAAGTGTCCATTGATGGATGAATGGATAAAGTGTGGTCTCTACAAATGATGGAATATTATACAGCCTTAAAAAGGGAGAAAATTCTGACACACACTACAATATGGATGAAACTTGAGGACATTATGCTCAGTGACATAAACCAGTCACAAAAGGACGAACACTGTATGAGGTCTCTAGAGCAGTCAAAGTCCTGGAGATAGTAGGACGGTGGCCGCCAGGGGCTGGGGGAGGAGGGAGGGGGGAGTTAGTGTTTACTGGGGACAGAGTTTCAGTTTGGGAAGATGAAAAGTTTCTGTGGATGGATGGTGGGGCTGGTTGCACAACAGTGTGAATGTGCTTAGTGCCCCTGAACTGCACACTAAAAAATAGCTAAAATAGTAACTTTTATGTTATGTATAAATTTTACAATTAAAAAAAAAGAATGAGTAGTTGAAAACATCACCTGGATTTATTAACTAAATAGTACAATAAACTCACTTTCATACATTTTGGTTTTTTTTTCAAGTTAAAGCCTCAACCAAATCTGACACATGTCACTCTCTTTGGTCCTATTTTATGCAGATTCATTTCAGTGGATTTCCCAGGACCAAATATTACTGGAAAACAAGGACCCTTCTGCTCAGTTCAGGAGTCGCTATTTGGAGTCACCGGCCAGTCTTCGCCCACACAGACTACTGTAAAGGTAGAAGCCATACAACACGGTGGATGAGACAGGGTCCTTGGTTCCAACCCCAGCCTTGCCAATGAGGAACTGAGAGTGGGACTTGGCCCCCATTTTGCAGGTGGGCCACTGAAGCCAATGACCTCGGAGGTCCCCCCGTCTCTGCTTGGCTTCTCTTGATTAGGCCTCTGTGAGTATTCAGAGGAGCCAGCTTGGCCGGGAGCGGTGTTGGCCGCATGCATGTCAGGGAAACCAAGTTGCTGTTCCAGAGGGATTGGGACACGGGGACGAGGCACTACAGAGGGTCCTAGCAGGGTTTGTCAGGTGGATTCAGTGTCCCAAAGACTGCTGAGCCGAGCAAGAGGGGATCTGCGGGGCTGCACTCGGCGGGGGCATCGGCCACCTGTGGCCACCCAGCACCTCCCCTCCCCATGGGTAACAGCGCCCCCAACTGCCACCCAGGTACTTCACCTGCTCACCTACCCCTACGAAAAGCCGAGCATCTGCTCAGAGGAGGGCGGGGCACATGGCCCCTCCCCACACTAATTAGCATGATCCCGCCCCTGGCCACCGTGATTCACTGAGGCCTGCACAGGTAGCCAATGAGATGCACCCACCCGCTTGCTCCCTGCGTAGTGAGGTGTGAGGATGAGGTGGGGAGCTGTGACAGCCATTGGTGACTCCCAGGGGACCGCTTAGAGATGCAGGGGACTACAGATAGAGCCTAAAGATGACAATAGAAACGAGGTCCTTGATAACATTATTTGAGTTGCTGGATCAGGCTCTGCCTGAAGCCAGGGCTAACCCTGAACTTTTGTGTCTTCTGAGCCAGTAACTCTGACTGATTAAGTCTTGCGTTCAAGCTCCTCTAATGCAAGCTGAGAATGGAGATATGGTTTGGCAGCCGGCAACGTGAAAACCCCATAGGTGGGTATTCTTGTTTAAGCGTGAAACCATGTGAGGTTTCCAAAGGCTTGGGCCACAGCCTGAAGAAGAAAAGACACAAGGGCCACTGTTTGAAGACTCCAGGGTGGAGGCAAGTAGCCTTTATATGGCCCCAGAGAGTGGTGCTTGATCAGGATGAGGGGGAAGCAAAAGTGAGACTTGGAGAATCATAAGGAGGCAGTTTTAGCTCACTGTGAGGGAAAACTTTCTCACAGGGATTGCTGACCAAGAATGGAATGGGCTGTCTTGTGAGGTAATGAGCTTCATGGCAGAGGAGGTATGTAAGGAGGTCAGGACTTCAATGGCCTGAATTTTTTTTAAAGATTTTATTTATTTGTCAGAAGGAGAGAGAGAGAGAGTGAGTGAGCACAAGCAGGGGGAGTGGCAGGCAGAGGGAGAAGCAGGCTCCCCCACTGAGCAGGGAGCCCCATGTGGGGCTCGATCCCAGGACCCTGGGATCATGACCTGAGCCTAAGGCAGACGCTTAACCGACTGAGCCACCCAGGCGCCCCAATGGCTGGAATTTTGAATAGAGTTGGAGGTTGAACTCGACAATATCTACATCTTCCCACTATGAGATGTTGCTTCCCCCCACCTCCCACTAAATTATTTAAGGGCTTCAACAAGCAAAATGAGATGGAGGGGATAGCCCTTATTTAGAAGTTTCCTAGCATAAGCTCGCTCTGGCACACTGGTCCCTACACTTCCCGCAGCCCCACAGCCACTGGAGTCTTAGAAGCCCTGCTCCAAGTGCAACCTTCGGCATTAACAACAACTAAATCTTTCGCAGAGCGCGCAGTAGGTGCCAGGCACTGTTCTCAGTGCTTTAAACATTTTCCTCACAACAACGAGGTAGGTAGGTACTGCCATTCCCCAGGTCTTGCAGATGAGGAAGTGGAAGCACAGAGAGCCCGAGCAACCTGTTCAAGCCGCACAACTCAGGTCTGGAGGAGCTGGGATACCCGCTCAGGCCACTGGCTCCAGGCCCACACCTCAGTGGCCCTGCCCAGTGGGAGGGAAGCTTGGAAGACAAGGCTGCAATGACCCAGCCCAGCTGCCGTTCTCATTAGGTGACTACAGGTCACATGCAATGAAGTCAGGAAGAGGAAGCCACTGAGAAGAGTGTGGAGAGTGGGACAGATGAGGACACACTTCGGCATTTTCCAAGAAATAAAATGTGGCTGCAGAGAAACAGAGTTTCCCTGGGGAGACTGAGGGTGTGCTACTCATATCTAGTAATTGGTATTTAACCGAGTCTGTCATTACCCTGCTGATTCAATCTGTAGGATCATTCACATAATCACACAAATGTGCTGTAATATCTCCACCTTAATACAAAAACCCCAAACCAACCAAACAAAATAACCCTCCCCACCATATGGCTGCCCCCAGCTTCCACCCCTCTCTCTGTCTACTGTAGAGCAGAGCTTCTTGAGGGGTTGCCTCTGCTGTTCCAATCTCAGCTTGTCACCCGTCACTGCTGAGCTGCTAGACCCCAGTGGCTGCTTCTCAGTGCTCGTCTTGTTTGGCTGGTGACATTAAGACTACATTTCACAGGGCACACTTCACAGGGTACATTTCATAGTGCACATTTCATAGAGCACATTTCATGAACACTACTACACAGAAAGCAATGAACTCTACGACTCCCTCACCTGGTCACTTTCTTCCCGTGGCTTCCAGGAGACAGCTCCTCCCTCCCTGGCACGTCGCCTTGTCTACTTTGCCAGTTCCTCCTCCTCCCTATTCCTCTATGCTGCCTGCTGTGCCCTCAGCCTCCACCTGAGAACTTCTTTATTTATTTTATTATTTTTTTAAGATTTTATTTATTTATTTGACACAGACACAGCGAGAGAAGGAACACAAGTGGGGGAGTGGGAGAGGGAGAAGCAGGCTCCCGGCTGAGCAAGGAGCCCAATGCGGGACTCGATCCCAGGACCCTGGGATCATGACCTGAGCCGAAGGCAGACGCTTAACGACTGAGCCACCCAGGCGCCCTGAGAACTTCTTTATATCCATTCACTCTATAAAGGGTCTCAGCCAGTGCTGTGGCCTTTAGCACTGATGACTTCTAAATGTATCTCCAGCTCTGGCCTCTGGGATCCAGTTTTCTGACAACCTTACCCAGCTTAACTGCTGCCTTGGCATCTCCACCTGGATGTCCCACAGGCATTGCAGATGCCTCGTAGTGTCCTTGTCTTTCTCTGTCTGCTTCTCCTGCTTCCCCTCAGTGAAAAGCGCCATCGCCCACCTGGCCACCCAAAGCGGAGGTCATACCTGAGGATGGAGAGTCTGACCCTTCACTCAGGGCCCAGGCCAGGGGTGCTGCAGGGAGGCTGCTCGGCAAAGGGCCGTCATATCATGCTATTTTGTGGCCACTCCCTTGCCTGGGTTTGTGCAGGTGAGGACAGAAGTGGGAAGGAGGAGGAGGGGAGAAGGAGTGCAGCCCCTGCCCTCAGGGGACCTCTGGGTGACAGGGAGCCCAGAGCCTTCACTCTTCAGGGCCACACCCACTGGACTCAGGGCCAGACCCTCACATAGACAAGGAGGGCGCTGGGTCTGCAGGGTAGGGAAGATGTCCTAGAGGACTTGGGGACTTGGGGTTGAGTAGAATGAAAGAGGCTTGAGTGGAGGAGGAAAGGCAGCAGGTGTGTTTGGGGACAGATGGGGGCCAGCAGGGCTAGAGAAGAGGACTTACAGCAGATCAGAAAGGGCTGAACAGACCCTGACTGGGCACCCCAACTTTGGGCTGGGCCTTATGTGTGCTATTTTGGGTACTGCTCATCCCCTGGATTTATGAGACTGTTATCTCTCAGAGGAAGAAAAGGTTAAGTCACAGAGGTGGTTGGGGGCCAGCAGGGATCTGGACCTAAGTCCATCCTTCCAAAGCCTGAGCTTGTTCTCTTGCCCCATCCTTTATGTCACCAGGCCTTGGAAAATCCCACATATTATAGATGGTGGAAGCCAGTGGAGCTTTGCAGGTATGAGGTTGAACCATATGGAATTACTGGGTTTTGCTGCTTTTGACCTGCAAAAGGGCAATTTAAAATGGTTTGATCTGATAGGACATGTTTTTATAATGGTTCTTGATTGACTGGCTGCAAATATGTCACTTCAGTAGTGAGTATCCCAGTTTGTGAAAGGCTTTGTTAGAATTTCTGGGCGTAAGGGCTGCCTGGCTGGCTTAGTCAGTGGAGCATGTGACTCTCGATCTTGGGGTTGTGAGTTTGAGCCCCATGTTGGATGTAGAGATTACTTAGAAGTAAAAATTTTTCTAAAAAAGAAAAAGAGAAAAGGATTTTCTGGGCCTAGAAATCTGACAGCCATCCACCCTAGGACTGGACCATGTGGCCCAGTGGTTTAAGTAGGGTTTCCCATAAGAATGGGTCCCTAAGGTTGGCTCTGGGGAGGAGATGGAACTGCCTGGGGACAGGGCAGAGGGTCACCTGTGGCCTTGCTGAATGATCTGGGTGCTATGGCCCCTCGTGACCTGCAGGTCCAGCCTCCTTAAAAACGCCAGCCCCAAGGTCACAGAGCTGCATCATGTTACATCTCTCCTCTCCCCCCACTCCTGGGCCATCAGCACTTGCTGTCATGGTCATTTTTGGAAGACAGCTCTGACCCTGCTCCAAAGCCCTCTGTGGCTTCCCAGGGCCAGCCAGAAAAGTCCAGATCCCCTGATATTCTAGTCCCTCCATGGAAGAGTTTCTGAAGTTGCAAAGCAAAGATCCCAAGGAAGAAAGAACACATTTTGCTCAGGAGGGCCCTGTAGGGGGAGAGAAGTCCCTCTGCTCCCTTCCCACCCCCAGTCCCCTCTGTACTGCCAAAGGGAGCAGAGGTGAGCTCTGGCCCTGTCTCTCTTCCCTTCAAAATGCTCTCGGTGGCCATTCGAAAGAACTCCAATGTCCTAACACAACATTGAAGGTCCTCCAAGAACTGACCCAACCCTCCAGCCTCATCACTGGTGATGACCACTGGGCACAGCACAGCCAGACCACTGAACCTCCTGTGTGTCACCCTTGGGGCCTTCGCACATGACAAGCACAGCTAACACCTAAATGGCCTTACCGTGTGCCAGACACTGTACTGTTCTGAGTATTTTTGTGCTAACTCACCTACCCTCGCCAGCAACTCTAAGAAGGAATGATTCTTCTTGCTGCCATTTTACAGATGAGGAAACTGAGGTGCAGAGAACAGAGTAATTTGCCCAAGATCACACCGATTCCTCCATCTTCAATGTGCACC